TGGATGAGTAGCCACGTTGCTTTGAGGCCGGACGAATAAACATGAAGAAGTTGGGTGTGGGCTCGGGAGGGGTAGATAAGCACGAGGGAACGACGATTTGTTTTTTTTTGTTTGGGATCCGCTCCTTGGAGCCGTGTCCGGACGCGAAATCACAGACGGACCGGCAGTATTTCCGCTAAAACTATGGATAAAGTTCCAATATCAGAACCATTTGTCGAAGACACGATTCAATCCACAATTGTTCGTTCTGAACTGTATGACTGCATGAGCTAATGAGCATCTGAACTGAACTTATCATGCGGAGGCCCCGTCGCCCCCAAATGAGTTCTCCAGAACGCCATTTCCTTTGAGATGGCTGACGTGTCCTCAGCTCTCGAGGGCCCACTGCCTGGTGACGCCGGAGACACGGAAAACGTTTTTTTTTAAAGGACATTCATTAAAACTTATATACAGCGTACTTGTACAAGGCTGATATGATTCCAGTTTACATCGAGAATTGGATGTTTGTGTTGAGTTGGCCGAAATCTGCCACCATAGATTTTATAGTCCAGTGAGGAATAGCTTCCCGATGATGAGAATTCAAGTACTTGACAAGGATCTCATGATCAGAAAAGTAGTTGACAATGTTCATGGACGGATCTATATACAATGTACAGGGTGCGGGCGCACCCACAAAAATATAAAAAAGCAGTGATTATGATCAAATTTTCACCATATTCGCACCCATACGGTAAAATCCTATGCACCCACGAGGCAAGCGCACCCCCCTCACATTTGCTCTGGCTCCGCTACTGACAATGTTTAGTTGCAGTATGGTAGCTATCCTTGCCGCCAGAGTTAAAGCGGCCGCTTCTGCCAATAGGACAGAAGAGGCTTCCCCCATCTTTGCCTTAATGTGGATTGAGAGGGGTTTGCTTTGTTGGGTGGAAACTGGAAAGGATGAAGACACTTAAGCCAGCCATTCTCGGAGTACCAGTAGAATCATCTGGACTGGCAACATCAGTGTAGCATCGAACCCCTTGGAGAAGAGGCAATAGTGGTTGCAAGGTTGCATGGTAGCTTGCGTAGGTCTCCAGCGTTGTGGTACGGCGGTGATGGTGTGTTCCTCCTGCTCCTGGATTAGGGAAAAGGATTGTCCCTGTTGTGGCTGTAGAACTTGTGGATAGGAGATAGTACCGGCAGAAGCCAAAGAGATGTCACCTTGGGTTAGGGAAAAGGATTGTCCCTGTTTTGTTGGGATAGGCTCCTGTACACTTCCTTTGAAGTGCATATTCCAGATTTAGCTGGTGTCCATCTGAGTATGTCCTCTTCTTGGGAGTGAACCACCGGTACCTGCAGCATATTCTGAGAAGCAGCATTTTCAAAAATACTACAGATAAGAGTAGCATTCCACGTTCTAGAATCATGGTGCCAAAGATCAACAACTTTATTGGGAAGGGGGGTTTGACGTGGGGGAAGAACCACACTGTTGTGGGTGTCTTCCCAACCCTTATACCAAGGATCAGTCCAAATGTTGGTGTTGCCCTTATGAATTTGGTATATACAGTTTGTTGTGAAGATGTTGCTTTATCTTCATCACGGAGGCCCAGAAGACTGACCTAGGAGCAGAGGAGCTACTGGACCAGAAAGAGGAGTTGGGGAAATTTTTGGATTTGAGAACAGCGGAGAGGTAAGGATCTTTTCCAGCAACAATCATCCAGGCTGAGTGGATGACTAAACTTTTATTAACAATGTGGAGATTTCTAATACCTAAACCTCCCAAGGATTTTGGCTGGCACATGTCCTCCCATGATCTGAAGTGGATGGGGTTAGTCCGGCTGTCTTCTTAAATCCCTGTCCACCAAAAATGTTTGAGCATAGCGTTGATCTTGTCGATGAATTTTTTAGGGAGGAGGATGTTGGTCATGTAGCAAATAGGGATGGAGGCAAGCACAGAGTTAATTTAAGAGAGGCCCCCAGCATGAGTCAAGTATTGCGAATGTGCCAGCAGAGTTGCAAGACATAATCTGCTGCTGATCTCCCTCTCTTTCTCTGCAGCAGAGTTGGCATTGTGGTCAGCTCATTGCTGTCTTTTGCCCTGTTCAAGTATGGCAATAGGCCATCACTTGTACCAGGCTGTACTCTAGGTAGTAGAGGCTTAGCTCAGCCATATCTTAGTTGTTGGGGCTGATATCAGCCATGTCCTAGAGGACATTGTAGTAGGTGTACTAGTGTACCTTAGGAGGTACTAGCAGCTTGTATATATACTACCTCTATGCAATGGAAAAGAGCAGTTCAGTTGCTACATTCAGTCTTCAGAGCTCTGGTTCAGAGCTGGTGTGTGTGCTGTGTGTGTGCTCTGCACTCAACCCCTTCTTCTACCTCTAGCCGTGGTGTGTGTGCGCTGGTAAGCTTGTTGCTTACCTGTGCAGGGCAGCAAGGGACCAACAAGAGTTCCAGTATGGCTGTGCCATGGGAGAACACCACCACCCGCTCCCCTGTCAGTGTAGTAGCAGCATTAGGACTTAGGAGAGAATCCAAACACTTCAATTGCAAGAAGTAGTAGTGAGCAGTGAAATGTAACATAGATTGTTCTGATTGTTAAGCCTATTTGAAGCTTTCATTTAAGTGTTTCCCATACTAGACATGAGAAGATGAGGACATTTGCTGATTACCAATGTGTTCTTGGGCAACCTTATTCAGGTAGGAGACGCAGCGCTCATTCAACTGATTCGGGCTCTCTCCGCCACCCTGGACACAATTGCAAGTTTTGATAAAACCTTCAAATGAAGTACAGATATGGGTTTAGTTTACCACTGCTGCAAGTGGCTAAGGGGAAATTTGTGTTGTTTGGAACACATCCAATTCAGTTTTAACTAGCAACAGCAGGTTGAAAGCATTAGCAATAGTCCCGCATGGCGTCAGTCAATTCAAAATCTGAATCAAACAGAGGCCACTGTGACTTATGAAACAAAGGATGAACAAAACTTTTTATGGACCCAAATGTCAGATGTTTAGCAAGACTGAAAATGTGCAATGACAAATGCTGCGGCTCCATGCAATTCTACTACTGAAATATGGTACAGGTCATGTGCCTCTCTCAGTGCCTCATTCAGCACCACCTGAGACAGACAAATTGTTGTTGAGACTTGAGAGGGGAACATATGCAGAATGTACTGTGCGTACTCTGTTTTTTTTTTTTAAGAAAATATATAACATAGAGCACTTACATTTGATACCCCACAAGCTTTGGATATGATTTCAGCGGTCTCAGCGGCTCACTTCAAATCAGAAGAGTACACAGCAGCAGGCTTGGATTCTCTCGACAGCCGGCAGGCCACCATACAAGGTTCATCGTCAGGTTTTGGCCAGAAATATAATGTCAGTGCTAGAGCTGGGATTGGGAATATTCATCACATTCTACATCGCGGTTTGAGCAAACAGACATTACCACGACAGCTTGCTGCCAGCCAGCCACATTTAGCTCTGGATCCATTTGTCCTCGGTCATTGGTCAAGGATGAATTCGGTAAGAATTCTGCTTTTTGGGAAACACATGGCAATTGCTGCAATGGATGAATGGCATTAGATGGTTGAGCTCCTACATAGGAGTACATCTAATGGCCACAGATGCTGTCCTACAGGCTACAGGCTCAAGTACAGTACAGAGATACATACTGCACCATTGTTTTCTACTAGTAGTGGCTCATAACAGAGGCTTACTATAATTTTCTAGGTAGTACAGGTACGGTAGATATGTGTTTGTCAGACATGAAAACATATGGGAGTACTTGTATGTTTCGACTGACAAGATGGGTAGACATGAAAACACTAATGTTACAGTTAGAGCTTGTTCTTAGTCTCTTAACCCATGGAATTACAAAGAGTAAACGCTGCTAACAGTGAGGGAACAATACAAACCTGAAAATATACAAATTTCATCAAGCATCAAGAGGTTCAGATCATTGTTCTCACGGGGACTGCAGGATCTCTTGCAAAATAATGCAACAATAAGCGGAGAATGTTGTGATACCCACTGATTTTTAAATTGATTTCCCCTCTAAACATATCTGGGGCTGAACAAAAGATAAATTTCACCTGGTAAACTTGATGCTGAAGTGCACTGACAGGAAACCATTTCCCTAGACAGTTTCTTAAAACAAAGGAGGCCACAGATCATGGCCAGTAAATTAGATCAGGAGACAGATATAATCACTCAAAAAAAATACTTGTCACTTGAAGATGTATCAGCAAAGCTGAGGATTCAAGTCATTTAACATAATGTTTATTGGTAGGCTTCCTTAGGATAATGATATTGCAAATATTAGCTGATTGTGGAGAGGAGAAACAAAAAATTCTAACCTCATTTCCAATGCACAGTTGCACTCATTATCAGCACATCATATGGAAAAGTGTATACTGTGAGATCCTTAGGGAGCGTCTTACAGGTAACTAATCAAGACAATAATACGCAGCTCTCCTGAGCTCTCCTGCGTATAGTTAAGGGGTGTGTGGATGGTGTGTGTGTGTTGTATTTTACAACTCTTCTTCTTAATGCAATGATACGCAGCTCTCCTGCGTATTCGAGAAAAAAAAAGAAAAAAAAAACTAATCAAGACAATAAAGCAATATAGGACTGTTGCTGTCAACATAGGTTGTGTGAGGAAAAATATAAAAAGTGTTTTCCACCGTTAACAGTGTGGGAAAATACCCAAGCTTAAATTATGGCTGAGAGTGCAGGGTTTCTTCACAGATTATGCAATAAAAGGCAGACTACAGTGTTACTCATTAATTTGCTAACTGATTCCTTCAAAAGGTACCTAAGACTGGCCACAGGATCTACCTGTTGATAAACTTGATGCTGAAGTGCACTAACAAGAGACATTTCTCTAGAGAATTTCATCATTCAAAGCATACCACAGAGCATGGCAAAAAAAAGAGCCAGAACAGTCACTCCAACAAACATGCCACATAAAGATGATCTGCGCAGTTGAAAACTCAATTCAATTTTTGACATAATACTCATTTCTTAGCTTCATTGAGGAAACGATACTTTTCAGGCAGAAACTTTGCATGGTGCTGGTATTCCTCCCTCGAGAAAAGTGATATAAGCATGGAAGTAGTGGAAGCCTCAAGTGAGAAATTCTTTTCATTAAGTTTGGAAAGGTAAGCCCCAGCCCTGCTTATGTCACCTCTATGCAACAACCTCCTAACTAGAGCATTTAACATACGTGAGTTTGGAGCAGTACCATTCTTTTCCATTGCTGAAAACAGACCATCGAACTCCTCAAGTGACCCTTCTTCTATGAGATTTTCTGCTATTAAGCAGTAGGTCTCAGCATCCGGAACCAAACCATAAGAAGAGATAGCACCAAACAAATTCATGGCATCTTCCCTTCTGCCACCTTTGAGCAAAGCGCCAATCATAATGGTGAAAGTAATAATATCAAGTTGAAGATCCTTAGAACACAGGCTCTGGAACATTTTGAATGCTTCATCAACACGATTATTCTTGCAAAGCCCATTTAGAATTATGTTATACGTGTAAATGTTCCACTGTTTTCCACTTGAGATCATATTGAGATAGAGTTCCTTTGCTTCAGAAAATCTCCCGGTTTTAAACAATCCATGCAGTATAGTACTATAAGTCACAACTCCGGGAGTAATGCCATTACGCAACATTTCTTGAAAAACACTATATGCATCATCTATCCTGCGAGCTTTACAGTAGCCATGAAGCAAGGTATTATAAGTCCATTCATTAGGTTTCAAGCCAACTGAGAGCATAACATCAAGTGACTTTGCTGCTTCATCAATTCTACCAACTAAGCAGTGGCCACCTATCAATGTAGTATATGAGATAACATCAGGCCTCGTGCCCACACGTTCCATCAAGTCAATGAGCCTCTGGGCTTTCATAACCTGTCCTTTTGTGCATAAGTTACACATTATGGTGTTGAAGAACACGACATTGGGACGGATTCCTTGATTCAACATTTCGAAAAATAATTCCTCGGCCTTCTCCCATCTGTCAACGGTGCATAGTCCATAAACCAGGGAGCTAAAAACAACAATGTTTGGAGTCACTCCTTCATTGATCATCTGATTGAATTTAAGCACAGCATCATCCACTCTTCCCAACTTGCAAAGTGCATCGATTAATGTTCCATAAGTGACTACATCAGGACTCAACCCATGCTGCCTCATTGTGTTAAATATATGCATTGCCTCATCTATCATTGCCTTTTTAGCATATGCACAGGACATTATGTTGAAGATGTGATGATTAGGTGAAACACCATTTCCTACCAGCATATCCATGAAGCAAAATGCCATAGATAGCTACATTAGGTTTTATGCCCTTCCTAGTCATAGAATCAAAAATATTCTTGGCTTCTGTGCATTTTCCCTTCTTGCATAGATAGTCCAGCAGCAAACCATAAGTAAAACAATCTGGCTCAAAACCACATGCAGACATTTCTTTAAGCATTCGAACCACCTGTTTCCACTGTCCTGTAGAGAGATATCCATGGATCAGACAATTATATGTGTCATTGTTTGGCTTAACACCTTTATCAATCATCTGCAGAAAGACAACCTTGGCCCTGTCAACCAATTGAGCTTTGCATAGGCCATCAATTACTGTGGTGTATGTCACGACATTCGGTTGGATCCCCCGATCCATCATTGCAAGAAATAGGTTGTAAGCTTTGTCCACTTCACCCTCGGTAAAGAAACCGTTGATGACAGTGTTGTAGGACACCACATCTGGTGGGCAGCTTCTACCTTGATCATCAGCCATCATGTGGAGCAGCTCAAGTGCCTCCCCAGTTCTCTTTTCATTGCAGAAACCCTTGAGAAGTGTATTGTATGACACTACATTCGGCGTGCAGCCAAGCTCGGGCATTCGTTTGATCAAAAGCGTCCATGGCCTCACCCACCCTCTTTGCGTCCACAGAGACCTTTGAGCAGTTGATCGATGACTACTACGTTATTCACCCTCCACTGTCTTAAGGATGAGGCCAAAGGTGGCGAAGCCATGCTCCGAGTGGTCCATGCGGAAGAAGCACCGATGAGTATCTTTGTAGGTGCAAAGGTCTGGAGTCACCTTGATGGAGCATTCACGGATCATCCGGTTGAAGAGGGAGACGACGAGCTCGACTCGAGGTGGAGAGGCGCCGGCCCGACGCTTACGAGACACAGCGGTGAGGAGATGGTTGAAGGCAATAACCGAGGCAGCTGGCGTGGGTAAGCAATCCGTCAAACAGCTTTGAGCGCGTCGTCGAGGCCGAGGCTTCCCGGCGGGCGCGGGCGCCGATGACGCGCTCCAGCTCCAAGCACGGGTCTCGACGGCGCTCACGCGCCCCCGACATGCCGGCCGGGCGCGCGTCGATCTCCGGATCGATCGGGAAGCAGAGCAGCAGCAGCCCACGTGAGGTGGCGGATACGCTCGTGCAGTGCCGTGGAGTGTGTGAGGTTAGGAGCTGGAATGGCGGGCGGCGGCGTGGACGGTTGGTTTGGCGGTGGCGGTGGCGACGGGTGACGGGCGATGATGGGAAACAGGAAAGTCCTCGCCCGCAACGCAACGCATAGCGCGCTCTCTCCCTCTTCAGGAGCCGACTCCTTTATTTTTAACATTTTTATTTAATCAATACTATTTTAATATTAATCCGGTTTGAAAAGTTTTTACGGATTTTTTTGAGTCACTTGTTCTTCGGTCCTTCACTTGTCGGTGCCAAAGGAAGCTCAATTTATTTCAAAATCCAATTACTGGTTCTTTTTTAAACAATGGAATAAATAAAGTTCCAATATCAGAATCACTTTTCGAAGATGATTCAATTTCAATCCACAATTATTCGTTCTGAACTCGTTCTGAAGCAGCAGAACTGAACTTGTTAGGCCGAGGACCCGTCGCCCCCAAACGAGTCCTCCAGGAAGCCATTTCCCTTGAGATGGCTGACGTCTCCACACCTCTCGAGGGTCCACTGCGCGGTGACGCCGGAGACACGGAAAACGTTCAGCGAGGTATTTGGAATGTGCCTGCGGATGAAGCTGTTGGGTGGGTCAGTGTGCCGGCAGAGCTCCAGTATGGCTGCGCCGTGGGAGACCACCACAACCCGCTCCCCTGACAATGTAGCAATACCAGCATTAGCAGAGATTCCAAACACTTGAGAGTTCAGAACTTGTAGTGAGCAGATATTCTATTCAGAGGGAGTAGTGAAATGTAACATAGATTGTTCTGATTTGTTAAGCCTGTTTGAAGCTTCAGTTTAGTGTTTCCCATACTGGACATGAGGAGATGAGGACATCTGCAGATTACCAATGTGTTCTTGGGCAATCTTATTCAGGCAGGAGACGCAGCGCTCATTCAGCTGATTCAGGCTCTCTCCACCACCCTGAACATCAGCGTAAGTTTAGATAAGACCTTCAAATGAAGCACAGAACTACAGATATGGGTTTAGCATTGCTGCGGGTGGCTAAGGGGGAAACTTGTGTTGTTTTGAACATTCTGGCCCCGTTCGCTGGTCTGAATTTTGGTTGAAACTGACTGAAAAATACTGTTCCGGCTGAATTGTTGTGAGAAGAAAACACTCTTTCGACTGAAAAAACAAGCCGAACAAGCCGAACACTGTTCAGTTTTAACTAGCAACAGCAGGTTGAAAACATTCTGTTCAGAACTACACATATGGCTTCAGTCAATTCAAGATCTGAATGAAACAGAGGCCACTGTGACGTAAAAAAGAGGATGAAGAAAGCCTTTATGGACCCAAATGCCAGATCTTTGGCAGGGCTGAAAACGCAAAATGACAAGCGATGCGGTTCCATGCAATTCTGCTACTGAAAATGCAAAATGACAATAAGCTTCAGACTTACGGGCAGTTCTTGATTTCTGCTGTCAGGATCAGAACCCTCGGCGAGTTTGAAAATATCGAACCCTCTGAAAGAATCTGGACTCTTAGCCACGGCATCGTTCTTGGAGATACCCCATGTGCCTCTCTCTCAGCGCCTCATTCAGCACCACCTGAGACCGACAAAATGTTGTTGAGACTTGAGACTCGAGAGGTGGAACGAATACAGAATGCAGGTACTCTATTTTTTTGTTGAAAAGAAAAACAACATCAGTGAGCACTTACATTTGATACACCACAGGCTCTCGCTATGATTTCAGCAGTCTCAGCGGCTGGCTTCAGATCAGAAGAGTATACGGCGGCAGGCTTGGCTTCTCTCGACAGCCGGCGGGCCACCTTACAAGGTTGATCATCAGGTTTTGGCAGAAATATAATGTTAGTGCTAGAGCCGGGATTGGGAACATTCGTCACATTCTGCATTCTGCATCGTGGTTTGTGCAAATAACGGACATTACCACAACGGCTTGCTGCCTGCCAGCCTCATTTAGCTCCGGGTCCATTTGCCCCTGGTCAATTGGTCAAGGATGAGTTCTTCCAGTTTGTGGGAAACTTGACAGTTTACTGAAATGGAAGAATTACAATAGCAGTAGATGGTTGACCTCATCCTACATCCAACAGGCTTAACCGCTTAAGAACTGAGATACTGTACTATCGTTTTAGTGGCTCAGAGAGGCTTGCAGTTGCAGATATGTGTTTGTCAGACATGAGAACGGGATGGCGTATCAAAACACACGCACGCATGGACATGTGCTGCAGTAATCTCGGAGTTGAAGGATTGACCCTCTCGGCAACCATTACACTCTGAACACCTCTCGTCGTCTGGTCTGGGACTTGGGAGATAGTAGTACTACAGAGAATTAGCTATCGACAGAACGACGGCGACGAATCAGCAGGACTCGGGAGGAGGGGCGGCGACGGACGGACGGACGGACCTGGACGATGCGGGAGGCGTTCCACGCGGTCTCCCCGTGCCGGACCACCACAACCTCCGTGGACAACTCCTCGCCGGCGCCCGGCGCAGGGGTGGACGACATGGCTCTCGGTTGGTGCTCGTCGGCCGTCGCGGCCCCTACGTCTCTACACCCACCCTACCTGTTCAGGGTACGTGGCATATTCTCTGTCCTATTCAGGGTACGTGGCGGTGCTTGTCTTGCTGACCAGTGACCACCACCAAACTCCAACCCAGTCAATGTCTTGCATTCCTGCAAGCTGAATGAAGGGAGAAAGCGAGGACAGCGGCTTGCTCACCACCAATCCACCATCACGCACACACAGGGCCGGCACCGACGACTCTGCTCTACTTTGCTGACACGGACACGGTTCAAACGAACGTGCGTGACAGGCGTCCAGTCCAGTGTTGCGGGCAAATGCAGATAGCACTGTATAGTGTATACCCAAAGAACATCTCGAGGCCAGAGAGAGAGCTACTACGCACTCAGCTTGTTTCTGCCAGTGGCCGGAGCATCAATCACAATCAGCCGCCAACTTTACCACAACGCGAGCAGAAAAAATAATAGAGCTTCCTGCAGCTAAAGCACGAGCTTTTGTCTAGCAAATCGCATTAGCAAGATCTACTGCCGAGTGCTGGCCGAGGGAAGACTTCTAGATACAGACACCGTTCACACTGACTTGTCCCCGACGGCACCGCACATGCATGTGCCGCAAGTTATCGAGATCATCGATCTGGTCGGTCGATTATGGTGTTGGTTAGCATGATGGTTCCTGTAAACATTTTTTATATCATAGCATAGCATGTGGTTGGAATGTTGGATTGGACCCTGCTATAGAGTTGCATAACCACAATTCTTGGTGTCATCTACTGCACTAGAAGAAGAAGAAAAAGACTACGACAACTTTGGAAATTAAGAATTTCACAGAAATCACATCAGTTAACACGCATGAATCGGTTTATTTTGGTAAAAAAGGGCAGGAAAAAACATGTTACGTTTCGAAAGAGGCTAAGACCGGATGGTCCAACAGATCAGACGGGTTAAGGTCAAGGACCACTCCACCGTTAGCACATCCTCTGTCCTCTTGTGATGGTCCTTTCTCTAGTTGACCACCAAACCCCGGCCCAACCCCAGTCAATGTCTTGCATTCTTCTTCTTTTTTTTAAGAACAACGGGGGATGAACTATCCCCACCTGGTGGGTGGAGGGCAAAACCCGAGTTCGGCGTGGCGCCACAATTATCAGAGGTACATAGCGAGGGAGAAAAGGCAAGATTGCATGTCACTAATAGAACTCCAGAAGTTACACAAGACGGGCGAGCTTCTCGGCATCCGACATTCCCATAGGGCCGCTGTGTTCTTGCAGGTGGCAATTAGTCTTTCGACGCTTGGCGCCATCCCCCTGAAGACCACATCGTGACGGTGCTTCCACAACTCCCAACAACATAGGAGGAGGAAGGTAGGGGCAGCTAGCCTCCCGGGGAGCCCTGTGAGGCGTTCTTGTTTCCTAGAGTCTCTGTACTTCTCTAGGTTGCCAGCCTATTCTTCTCCAGAAAGAGCGAGCGAAGGAGCAGCCCGATACTATGTGATTTGCATCCTTATCTTGGTTCTTGCAAATATCACAGGTTGCATCAGGCAGCAGGCCTTTCTTCTCCAGGTTAGTTTTGCACTGGATTCTGTCTTGGATCAGCAATTCAGCAGCCAGGCGAAGAACTTCACGCGTGGGGGAGCAAAGTTACGCCAGATGAAGTCAAAGGAGGGCAGTTTCTGATCTCCTCTAACCGAAGTTTTGTAGGCCACCCCAGCAGCCAGCTTCACATCCTGCTTGGCGAAGACATAGGCCCTATCGTTCGGGGTGTCGTCGAGGTCCACACTCAATAGGAGACACTGCAGCTTCTCCATTTCATCTTGGGCCTGTCTGGACAGCCGGGGTTGGAGCATTGTGTCCCATTCCCTGCTGAGCACGTCGCGCACCGATGCATCTCCTTTGGTAAAGTGGCTGTGCAGAGAGGAAAAGGCCTCAATCAGGGTTTGATTTCCAAGCCATCTGTCATGCCAGAAGGACGTGTGATATCCATTGTCAACCCTGACATGCGATATGATTCTGTATGCTGGTAGCAGCTCTCTCGTCGCCTCCCAGTGCGGCCCGGTCACGTCTCCACTGAGATCCACGAGGCTGACCTGTGTTCTTGCCCAAGCTGCCCATGACGAATCCCGCCCCTGGATGGTATAGCCTGTGTATGAGCTTGAGTGTAGAAGGCAGGCATTTTGAGTGTCTAGGCGTTTGATCCCTAGGCCTCCATCCTCCTTTGTTTTGCAAACATTCTCCCACGCGACCAGGCATTTGGCACCCGTGGTCTTGTCTGATCTGTTCCAGAGGAAGGCTCGCCTCTTAGCATCCAAAGCTTCCATGACTCCAACTGGCAGTACCAGGGCACCCATGGCGTATGTTGGCAAGCCGTCGAGCACTGCATTGATCAGGACAACCCGGCCACCGGGACTGAGGAGAGTCGCTT